AAATTTTAATATGTTGCCAAGTAAGAGTAGCTGAATAAAACTGTGATATGCAAATTAGTGGCGCTGCTTTCGGAATACGTCATCTGCAAAAAGCATAAAAGTCCATGTTTGAGAGCAAGCCCACATATTTCACTGTGGCAGTGACATCAGAAATCTGAGATAGCCAATTCATAACAATGACCTCCAGGCATCATTTGCCTGCAGAACTGCAATGGAGAGCCATTGGGAGACCTAGAGGTAGGACAAAGTCAAACAGAAGTGGCCAGATGGCTAAATGTGAGTCCTTCTGTGGTTCATATACTTTGCAGGCAATTTCAAACCACAGATTCGGCCTCTAGGATGTTCAGCCAAGGACGGCCAACTGCTACGACGATGACCGATATTTGACATTATGGGCACGCAGGAATAGAACCGCTACTCCGACTCTTCTTAGATCCTCCCTTGCTGCAGCCACCGGAAGGTTGGTGTCAACGTCAAATGTGTGTAGAAAGCTTCACGAAGGTGGTCTGTATGCGAGGCGAACAACCATTTGTGTGCCGCTCAAGTCACGCCATAGGAGGGACCGTTTGCAGTGGGCACGACAACCTGTCCACTGGACGCCTGTTCTCTTTACGGATGAGTCCAGGTTTAGTCTAGAACACGACAATAGGCATTATTTGATATGGAGAGAACCTGGAACCTGTTATCATCCATCAAACATCCGTGAAAGAGATGCATACGGAAGAGGCAGTGTCTGTGTTTGGGGTGGCATCTCTTTCGGCGGATGCACAGACCTCCATGTTTTTCCAAGGGGAACCGTGAATACTCATGTTCATAGAGATGACATCCTTGATGCTTATGTGTGCCCATATGCCAGGGCAATAGGTGATGCTTTCCTGTTACAGGATGACAATGCAAGACCACACAGAGCTCGCATCGTATATGATTATCTTCAACAGGAAACAATTATGCGCTAGGAGTGGCCAGCTCGATCCCCCGACTTGAATCCTATCGAGCACATTTGGGATGCTTTATTGAGATGTCTAGCTGCTCTCAATCCGCCCCCTTAGACCCTTGCCGCGCTTGCAACTGCTTTGCAAGAGCAATGGCTCTCGCTTCCTATGGAACTGATAGACCGTATAATTGAAAGCATCACACATCGCTGAATGTGCTGTATTGCTTCTAGAGGCGATTACATTCCATATTGAAGGTACTTTTACTATAGCAAATCGACATCTTCGATTTGTTCATTTTATACATGTGCTAATTTTTATACTACCATAATTTCTTTTTATGTTTCTTTTTATGTTTCTTTTTTATGGTAATTTCTTTTTATGTTATTTTATACCTTACTATGTGTTGTATATTGTGGATACGTTTCATAAAATTCTACATGTAACTTTTTCAGTAATCGTGATTTTTCCTTAATTTATGATAACCAGTGTAGTTAAGATAATTAAATAACAGAATTTTATGGGTCCAAGCACAGGAAAATGAGTTGGCTGCTTGGCTTGGTTTTTCCCATGTGTAATGTAAATATCAGCCTGTTTATCTCAGAAAATCCTCTATCAAGGATCTTTCAGCTTACCCAGGTAACTCTTGTGGGCTTTGCCATATTCAAACAACTTCATCTAAACCATTATATTTTCTTGAAGAATATAACAAGAACAATTTTTTCTTGAAGAATATAACAATAAATTTTTCTATAACTTTTATACTCTATTATATAATGTATAAATATAGTAACTAAGCATCAGTTAAAGTGCACAGGAAGAAAGGGCGTGATATATAACTCATTTCCACCAATTCATTCAAGTACTATTGGTAAAGGAAGACAGAAAAAGTTCTATGTGAAATACCTCAGCAATTTTCTGAAAGGATACTGAACATATCCAGTTTCTGAATCACATGTACAACTATAAGCACAAGTATACAGCAAAAGATACAAAACTCCTGCATTGCGTACTGCATATAAAAAATGACTTTTAATACTACCTTCCCTTAATCTAACCCTCGTTACCTATCTAAGAAAAATGCAAAACTCTACTGTCCTATAAGATTTCTTATATTTATTACTGATTAAAAACTTACTTCTTGCTTCTTGTAAAATTTTTTAATTATAAGCATTCTTGAGAGATCAATTCCAATTTTGAATTGCTAAAGAAATCACAACATTCACTGCCATTTTAATTTGAAAAAACAAAATAGTTTTAAAGTTTGGCATCAAGTAACAAGTAATAGTTCACTTTATAATTTTGGTGCTTTTTTGCTAAAGTGATGCAAGTCACCAAATGTGAACCTAAATGGCAGATGCGGTAACTTATATATCACATCATAAATAGCTGTGCCTTAATAACATATATAATTTTTAATGTGCCCAACGTCAAATTTTTGCAATTCTCTATTTCTTTAAGTGGAAACAGATTGATGTGACATGGAGAGAACAACAGTTTTGTTTCCATGTGCATATTAATCTGCTTTTGCTTTAAAAAAAGAAAGAAGAAAAGAGTAGAACAAATTTGGCATCTTGCACATTAAACATAATAGTATATGTATCTTGAATTTGTGCTCCTTGGAGATGGTATATGGAAAGTTTTCCTATTATAAATTATTATGAATTGGTTATATTCATCATATATATATCAGTTACTATTTCATTGAAGCATTATATACTATTAGGGTTGTCACCATCTAGTTAAATTTAATGCTAACATTTATGTTTGGAGCTAAGTACTGTCTCATTAACAGAGAAAATACCTAATTTTTGACAACTATTATTGATTTAATAATGACACTTTACACTTAAGTATACTTAGTTCTTCCTTTCACAGTTAAGAAGATTTTGTAGGATTAGTCAAAGTTTACTATTTTCTTCAAAATCTTTATGATCAATATCTGCTATTAATCTTTTCATGATACTTTAGTTTACAAAAATTTTCTTTTCTTCACTTTCTCTGTTCATTCCATCATATATAAGCTCATTTTTTGAAAACAAACTGCCAGAATTTTTTTCCATGTTCTCTACTACAGAGGAAAGTTTAAAACAATAATTTATTTAACTAAACAAAAAAAAGTGGGCAAAAACTAAAAATTTTCACGTTAGAAGCATTTCTGTTTGTGTTATAACCAACCATAAGTTATGGCTAAAATAAAAATTTAGCTATTAATTATTTTTGTAACTTTTCTTTTCCTTGCACTGCAATAATTTATGTTGACATTTGTATAATTTTGGTCATTATGATGAGTCAGGTTGTCATTAAGATTTTAAGTTCGCAGCTACAGGAAAAGAGATGACATTAGTTATGATTTCAAAATCAGGTTGCCCCAACACTGCAACTACCAATGTATTAATAAAAAAAAATAATAAAATCTCCGAGACAAAAATGGCATTGCACACACTTTTGACTATATCCATGTAAACATCGACCTATTTTCACTTAAACAATCAAAGAAAATTGACAAAAATCCAATTCTTCTTACTCTTGCAAAAAGTGCCAAACAAAGAAGTGGGCGATTCTGCACTTTAGCAGCGAAATTGTTTCTAAGTGATTATTAGTTAAAATCAGATCAGAATTTTCCGGAAAAAGTCACATTACATGTCTCATAATCTCTCATTTCTCTGAGACAAAATAATCTGTGATTCGAACTGTGTATTTCTCAGATTATTGTTAAGTCCTAGCTAGTAACCTTTATCGCCTTACCAAAATGTTGCCAAACTACCTGTTACCATATTCCAAAGATTAGCCAAATTAGCAATTTTTCAGTTAAAACTTAAAAAATTCTGAAATAAATATTTGGGACGGGTACATTGAAGTCGAAGATTTCCATAAAATTTTTAATATCTGAATTTCATATATTTGAAGGTTTGCCGTAGCTATATGAAATAGGTCTATAGGAAACTGGATGGGACAAAAAAATTCATTTGCTATAGCAGAATTTGACTACATAGTCAAGTCATGAAAGAAGAGAATAAAAATGGTTCATCTGATTAGCTGTATGCTCTTTTTGGATATTCTTAATAATAAAGGCCTTTCCTTTATTTTTCGTTGGTAAATTTTTCTTTCCTTGACAAAAGAAAGGGTAGAACATGACATTAAAAAGAATTATACTAACAAAACTTTGAAAAATAATACTTGATGAACTTGAGAATAAAAACTGTGATATGCAGCAAAGAAAATTGTAACGATAATTTAATGTAAAATGTATCCAGGTTGAATGGAGAAATAAATATATATTTATGTACATGTATGTCTCCGAAAAAAAGAACAGTAACTAAAGAATTGTTTATTAATTACGTTTCTATCAATACATGATGGTAATACATAATGTAATATTAGGATATATAATGCATGATGTCCAAACTCATATATTGAAAATATGTTACATATTGAATTTAATAAATTTCTAAAAGCTGATATGGTAAAAAATAATCACAGCAGAGATAATATTTTTGTATAAATAAAAGAAATTATTACTAATGAATGGCATTAACAGGCAGCGTATTAAAATACAAATAGAATAAAAAAACTAGTACATTAAGAAACAGATTGTTGAATTGCTACATTAATCATCATAGCTACTAATTAAAGTAAACTGATTTCCAAATTTTAATTGATTTTTTGTATGTTTTATATATTTTCAAAAATTGTAAAAAATTATTTTGGTACTTTCCGATTATCAACACCCTATGAAAAGCTTCCTACTTATTGGTGTTTTTGTAAATTGGCAAAAAATGTTTTTTGCCTGGCTACCTTTATAGTTTATAAGTACTATACTGCTCATAAATAATAAAAGGATGCATTTTATTTTTTAAATAAATGTAAGGGAGGGGACCAAAAATCTATATAACTGATATTCACATTTTTACAGATGTCAGATCAATTCATGCAAAATCTTAAAAATTTCTTCAAATCAATTTTACTACCGCCAAATAATTAATGACTGTAAATGCAATCAAGTAAAAGATATTTACAACAGTATATCTTTGCATTTTAAGATAATTAATAAAATTAAATGCTCACTTTCCGTCTTGATCATTCACCCATAATAAAGAAGGTCCAGAAGGCACAGTTTTATAAGAAATTCCAATAATCTTTGGAAAACAAAGTTTACATGTTTCTGAGTCTGTCCAAATCTTTAATGACCACTCCTCAACTACAAAATGTAGCTGACTACTCACATTCTGCAAAAACTTTTTTAAATCTGAGCATTTTAAATATTTTAATTTATCAGCTGATGATTTAATTTCTGAAACTTGATCCACCTCTATTTTATGGCAATCTAAAATAAGCATAAACTTTGAAAAGGACTGAGAAGTATTTTCAGCATCACTGCACTGAAGCACTTCATGATTTTTCGATTTTAAGGGATTTGATGTATCTGCAGAGGTATCTACATGTTTACATTTGCCTGGTTCTAACAATGCAAAATCAACAACAGGTTCCAAAAATAACACTGCATAACACTCAAAACACTTTTCTTCAAAGTTACAAGCAAAATTAAAAATATAATGCTGCACTAAAATGTCATTTACATTAGACACTAAAGGAAGGTCAGTATTTAATTTACTATTAGCCATTATGAAACACTCCTTTCAAAAGTCAAAAGAAAGCGCTATAAACTTTACAATGTTTTTATTTGCAAATATACAACTTTTTTTAATAAGATCTCACTGTTAATCTTTCTTATTAGTATTATTACAGACAGATAGCTCTGGATTTGATAAGGAGAGCGATTTGGATGGATAAGTAAGAGATTTCATTTCTAACTCACATATGGCTTGTTGTTTCTTTTTTAGCTTTACACCTGCACCAAAACCTAAAACGCCACCACCTGCAACACAAGCAATGCTACCTAAAAGTTTAAATCCAGCTAATGCTCCTACTGGTCCTAACAATAAACCTCCTATAACAGCACCAGTAACAGGAAATGATGCAGCTTTCAACACAGAAGCCTTCTTCAAATATTGTGTGCCAACATACACATTTTCATGTGTCCGCTGTAAGTTATTCTGAATTGTATCAACATTCTCCTGTTGTTGAAACACTAATGATGCAAACTGTCTGATGAGATCACGGATTTCTGATAGTTCTTTGCGTAAGAATGTCCAATTTTGCAAAGATGAACCAGATGTACGATATTTTTGTACTTGTAAATCACCTATGACTACTGGAGTTTCTTCACTGTGGTCTGGGCTTTTATCTAATTGACAGGTCAATGTAGGAAATGAGGAAGATGAATCAGACAGAGAAAATTCTACATCAGGAAAGGGTTCAAGACTGTCTGAATGCAATTCCATGAACTCGGATAAAACTTCAATAGCATTTTTAGCTGGACTTTCAATTTTCTCCAGAAATAAATTTTTATCTTCATCTTTGACCTGCACATTTAGTTGTTCAAGCTCAAATAAATCATTTTTCAATAACTGGACAGTTTTTGCAGCTTTAACTTGTTCTGAACGTAATTCTAGAGACCTATTTTCAATCTTCAGATTTTGTATATTTTCACTTTGCTGTCTCAGAAGCTGCACATGTAGAGGAATTGCTACACTGACAACTTGATTAAGAGCAAACTGCAGTCTCTTGAAAGGTAATTTTGGCAATTCAGCAATGCTCTCTGAGGGAGCCGAGTCATTGTCTATATTTTGCATTATAAGCAACAGTCAAGAAAAGAGCATAGCATGTTTCAAGAATTATCACCTGAAAAAGAAATATATTTCTTGTATTACAATTGAACAAAATGTAATTTAATAGCTTGTTTAGCAAAATTTATTTTTCAGTTGAACATAACAATAAACATAATACAAAAAGAGGCTCGGATTCTGTAAAAGCACAAGTCTAAACTTTTATAATTACATTAGACTTTGTTTAAAAACATAAAAATCTAATTAGATATTTTTTCCAATTAAAAATAAATGTCATCTTTGGATTTCAGCATTAAATACCTACATTTTATCCATTAGCTACCATATTAAATGTGCAAAATATTCTTTTGGTAATCTGAATTTGTGCTTTGATTATACGTTATTCATCATCATAAACCCTGAATGACAAAAAGGTAAGTGGGATAAAAGAATTATTTTACTTTGAATAAGAATTTCCCTTCCCTTAACCCTTTGACTACTAATGGGACATTTATGTCCCACTAAACGTTTAAAAATTACTACTGGGTTAAAAACTACTCAAAATGTCCTGAATGTTGCGGATCATCTTCCAATAGTTGGAAAAATCAAGATGGCATTGTGCTCGCTGAACACAAATAAACACAGAGAAAAGAACAAATATGAGTTGCCCAATGTGTAATGTTGGGTTATGCAAAGAATGCTTTACCCTGTACCATATGACGTAACATCTATTTCATATAATAAAGTTTTCCAGAATAATAGGTGTGCTTATAGTAAGTTGATCACTACATGTGGTACAAATGTATACCATAAACAGGATTTATAAGTTTATACTTTAGTAAACAAAGTAAGTCAGTTTAACAAGTTTATACTATAGCAGGCATACTTGATATTACTGTTTACGCCAGAAATTATTAATTTTGTCAAAAACAAAAAAAAAAAAAAAAACTGGCCCTGGTAGATAAAACTTTCATAAATTTAACAATTATCTTTCAAAAGTTTGCACTGCTCAGGGCAAAGGAATACACAACATTGACTGGCAACTGACGTTTTCAGAATAAGGATGATAGGTTAACATATAAGAACTCCAAAAAGCTCCCACTTTCTGATAATGTACTCATTCAATTTTTTTTAACATTCCAATTTATTTTTCAAAGCACCTTTGGGAAGCATTCCACAGAGAACCCGGTAAATGTAAACATCGCCAAC